GCCTCAAGAATGATCTCGTGTGAGATCGGCCGATCCGGCATCACGCCGGTAGGTGACTCGAAGACGTCGGCGAATTCGTCGAGCAACCGCACAACCCGGGAGTCGGAAGACAAGTCCGTGGCTTGAGAATCGGCTGCCGCGACGGTTCGAAGAAAACATAAGCCAATCTCGTCAGTCCGCTCGTAAGCGCAAGTGGCCCGAAAAGATTTGGCGGTTACAACTTGGCACCGGATCGAAGGGTGCGGAGGAGGAATGGTACACGGTACTTAGGTGCCGAACGCGTCCCGAACCGTAAGAGTCCGCTGATGGAAGTTGACCGTGTGATCCGCACTAGCGAGCCAAGGCATGCCCAAAATGATGTCGAAGTCCGTATCCAAGACGTCGAATGTCACCGGTTCGCATGCATGAGGTGCGAAATAGACCGGGACGGCTTCAATGTAGCGATCAAGGAGTTGTTGCGTCCTTCCGTCCGCCAACTTGATCGACGTAGGGTGTGCCTTCCTTCAAACTTGTGGTCCAAGGCCGGCCCTTTGCATGAAGGACTGGCTAATGAAGTTGCGAGTCGCGCCGCTATCCAGCAAAGCGCTGCAGGACGCTTGCCCGATTTGGATGCGGACGTAAAGGAGCGGTGCGTTGTTTTCGTCATACCGCTGCGTGCGAAACTCGCGGGCCACCTTGCTCACATAAGCAAGAATGTCCCCCACCGCGACCTCGTCCTCCGTAGGCGAAGTTGGTGGTGCATAGAAGGCCAAGTATGTATGTAGATGAGCGCGAAGAGTGGCGCATTGCGGCTCCGGTAAGCAGCCGGTGGAAGGGAGAGGAAGCCATGCAAAATCCTCGGGCGTCAACGGGTCCAAGTCCTCAATGTTGAACGCCTGCGCCGAATCCCGTGAAGGTCCACTTGAAGACGAATCGATGCAGCTGCTACCGATCGGAGAAGAGACCGCACATACATCTTGTCCTTGGGCTCGTGGAATCAGCGAAGGTACGAGTCGGGCAGCATAGTCCTCGAACGAATGAAGAATGGGAGGACTTACAACGTCCGCATGTGCCCCAGAACCGAGGGAGGTTACTCGCGCGGTAACCGGTTCCGAAGGCGTCGAGAGTGCCGTCGCAACACTCTCGGCGGTGCTCACTTTCCCGACTGGGCGGGACCCTTGGCCTTTGTGGGACAATTCGCTGACTCGTGAGCGGAGCTATTGCACCACAAGCAATAATGGTACTTGGTGCGAATTTTATATGCGCGTGGCGACAAACCGTATGTTGTCCAAGGGCCTTGTTCTTGAGCTGCCTGTCCGGGCCCAGAAGAAGTATTGGTGGTTGTCTTCGGCTTGCCGCGTCCTCGTCCTTTGGCGGGGCAGCCACCATTCTGGGCAGCTGCTAGTCTGTCTCCCTGATCAGATGAAGCAGCCTCGTTCGAAGAAGTTGAAGGGTCGCTAGGCGTTGCTGCTGCGACCACGGCCACCTTGGGCCGATGCTGATGCGTGCCCTGGCCGGCAGATGACGAAGGGCCCGTGTTCCGGGAGGCCAGATTCGTGACAATGATCTGCGCAGCCTTGTTGAAGAGCTCCTCACTTGTGGTGAGGGTGTCCGCGACGTGAGT